GTAAGATGTATATTTGATTAAGGAATTTGGTTGTAGCTGATATTGTATATATTACATGACTTCATGAGAAATGTATGTAAATGTATCAAATACTATAGTGATAGCACAACTCCCCGACAAATAACTCCATACTCCACATACCTCCCTCCCACAGTACTTCTTAGCTAATATTATTTTTCACCTATTTATTCTTGGTATAATCTTGGTCGACATGTTGGAGATAGTGGCAGAATTGGAGTTAGGTAAGTTTGCTTTCACACCAAGGTGGCTTCTCGCATGTAGCACGGCATTTAAAAACGAAAATCTGTAAATATCTGAAACCTTTTACACACAAGTGGTGTGGCACATCACATATGGTACGTGAGATCTGCATGCAACACCATGCCACTACTGTGTAAAAGGCTTCAGATAACCCAGATATTTCCAGATGTTCAATTTGGTATTTGTTGCTGATACCGACGCCCCCTCTCAGACTAAGTTGAAAAAAATTTGGGACAATATGCAGTATAAGGTAGTGCCTAAGTTGGGAGATAAAACCTATATAAATCGATAGACCGATACAAACCAAGACACTTTTCTTCTATGGCAATATTTGTGCAAATGCTTCCCAAAGGTGCTATACGTAAATGAACAGAGGTGAGGGCCCAATTTTGCCTAAGTCCATCATCATCTTTTCATGACGAAAGTAATCATTGGACTGGACGCAGAACTGATTACTGCGCTGTTCAGACTAGTGCATGTATTGCTGCGCGATTGTGAAAAGGATATTTTGCTAATCATCAGTGTCTGCCGTTCCATATTTATGCTTTCAAACACCTTTATTAATGTTTTTATACCTCATTTACGTGTTTTAAGATTGATTATACAGGTCCAAAGGATCTTCTGCGCATGCGTATTTTCGCATTTCTCGCCGCCAGTTTTGACAGGTGGATTTGCGGGTAGTCGGTGACAGAGAGCCGGTAAGAAATGTTTTGTTTTCGGTGTTGCGTCGATTCTACGACGCAACACCGAAGAAAAAGACCTCAATAACTATCGCAGTTCCATTTCTAAGGGCATCAAGTACCCCAAATCCCGAAAAAAGCGATAAAAACGAAGCGACCCACGATCCACGACCGACCGAAAGAAGCGAAGGAAAATTGACAGTTCTGTCTTTCGATATATAAAGGTATTTGGTTTATTGTTTACAGTATGGATGCAGCTCTATCTTGCCGTACATACCGAGGTGAAGAGAATGTGTCCCGGGGGTGTTGGGGGCTTGCCCCCCATCAACCCTCCCCTCGGGCAGTGCCCGAAGGGCACACCTAGTCACGGCATCGTAAATTGCTAGATTAGTTTGGGTTATGGGTTAGGACGTTTTTTGGTGCTTGAAAGGTGTGAAATCCCGTAGATTTTCGAAAGATGCGTTGTATACCCGTAGAGTTTTCCGAATTTTGGCGTGCCGGTGCGTAGACTTTCAACGATGGCGGTTACATCCGTAGAGTTTCATTGGCCGATTTTAAGCGCTTTTTGTGCTAGTTTTACGCATTTTTGATCGTTATTCTTCTTATTTAAGCTTGTTTACCCCATAATTTCCCTGATATACTTCATGCCCTCCTCTACTAACGGGACTGACAAATTAAGATTGTCGATGGAAGTGGTACTCAGATCTCATCAACGAAGCATTTGCACAAGAAACAACATCAAGAATCGTTGAAATCAGTAGATTTCATGCAGATAAATATCAAAATTTGTTCGAAAGTAAGCCCCTACCCTGTTATGCATATTGACCAAAATTTGTTTTTCAGCATGAAATCCTATGATTTTAACAATTTTCAGCATTGTTTCTTCTGCTAATGAATCGTTCAGGAGATCGAGTACCATTTCTCCATCGCCGACCTTGATGTGATAGTCCTGTAAGCAGGGGAGAGCATGAAGTTTATCAGGGAAATTATGGGGTAAAACTGGCTTAAATAAGAAGAATAACGATCAAAAATGTGTAAAACTAGCACAAAAAACACTTAGAATCTGCCAATGAAACTCTACGGATGTAACCGCCATCTTCGAAATTCTATGGGCTGATGCGCAGAAATAAAAAATTCTATGGGAACCCAACCCGCCTTTCGGCAAAACTCAACGGGAATTCACACGTTCCAACACCCCTAAAAAATGTATTGACCAATAAACCAACCTAATATATCAATATGAATTGACGTGACTAGGTGTGCCCTTCGGGCACTGCCCGAGGCGAGGATTATTGGGCTCTGCCCCCCAACACCCCCCAGGACACATTCTCTCCACCACAGTATATACAGCAAGATAGAGCAGCATTCCCACTGTAATATAATAAACAAAATACCTTCATATCCGGACGCCTCAAACTTTCTTTGTTTCTTTGTACCGTCGGGAATACTTTGATTTTTATCACCTTTTTCATCATTTGAAGCTCTTGATGGGCACAGATATAAAACTGGGATAGTTACTAAAGTCTAATTACTCTTCGATGCCATTGTAAAAGTCTTTAAAATAAGCCAGAATCAACACAACATTGGAAATGCAACATTTCTCACCGGTGTTTTAGCTTGAAATGAACGCGCGCCGTGGTGTGATACCTGGCAGCAGGAGTAAGAAAATGTGAAACACTCGATGTGCACGAGGGTATTGATGAATATTAAAGTGTGCAAATGAAGTATAATAAAATTAATAAAGGACTTTAAAGGCATAGATGTGTAACAGCAGACACACATAATTAGCTAAATGTCATTTTGACAAGCACGTAATGATACACGGACTAGTTCGAGAACACAAAAATGCGTTTGTGGGGCAGTGTTGTGTTTTTCTTCGCAAGGTAAGGAAGCTCATTGACTTAGAATTTGAAAGGCGAGCACGCGTTATATTTTCATCTTTTAGCGGTGACTATATCGCCTCTGCAGCTTAAACTATGTTCTATCCCACTATTTTTTCCACTCTATAAGATGGCGATGTCCTCTTTCTCAGTGTTGTTAACTTATTCCTTCAATTTCATATGGCATACCAAGTGCGACGTACCATCTTGGTACTTTGCATACGCGTAGATAAAGAGAAATATAACTCTCAGGCGCCTTTCAAATTCTAGGTCCATCATCTTGTTTACCTTGCTAAGAAAAACACAAGATTGACCGATGAACACATTTTCTCGTCAAACTACTTTGTGTATTACAACGCGCTTGTCAAAACGATATTTGGCTAATCATCTGTGTCTGGTGTTACACATATATGCCTTTGTAGTCTTTAATTAATGTTGCTATACTTCATTTGCATATTTTAATATTTATTTTTACTCTCATATAGAATCGTGTGCATCGAGTGTTTCACACTTTCTTGCGCTAGCCACAGGTTGACAGGTCACCAGCCCGCTCATTTCGTGCTAGAAGGCTGGTGAGAATTGCTACATTTCCAGTGTTGTGTTGATTCTGGCTTCTTTTTCAGACTTTCACAGTGGCATCGAAGAATAATTAGACTTTAGTGACCATCCCAATTTTATATCTGTGCCCATCGAGACCTCAAATTGGCGAAATAGGTGATTAAAATCAAAGCAATCCCAACGGTAGAAAGAAGCAATGAAAGTTTGACTTTTCCTGATATAAAGGTTTACTGTTTTACCGTATGAATGTAGCTCTACCTTGCCGTGCATACCGAGGTGGAGAGAATGTGTCCCGGGGGTGTTGGGGGGCTTGCCCCGCATCAACCCTCCCCTCGGGCAGTGACCGAAGGGCATGCCTAGTCACGGCAATTTATATTGATATATTAGGTTGGTTTATTGATCAATACGTAGAATTTCAAAGATGGCGGTCACATCTGTAGAGTTTCATTGGCCGATTTTAAGCGTTTTTTGTGCTAATTTTACGCATGATCTTCAAATCAAGATCATCAATGGAGAAATGTTACTCGATCTCCTAGATAATTCATTCGCTGAAAAAATAACGCCGAAAATTGATGAAATCATTGGATTTCCCACTGGAAAACATCATTTTTTTCAACTTAGTCTCTGGGAAGGTGTGTGTCTCTGTAACAATTACCCCATCTTGGTGTGAAAGCAGCCTTATACAACCTATATAAAATAATAGAATGATGCAGATAAATTTCCAGTTTCATCCAGCTTCCGACTTTTGAACGATTGTTTTTAGAATGGATTATTCCTTCGCTGTTTAGCACTGTAATGCTGCTGTTCTCTGTTGCATCTGACTGCTTGATGATTGACGTAACTTGTACTTCCCAACGTCAAAGTTGCTTAAGTATGTAATCCTTGGTTTTGCACTGTATTTTTGGGAAGAATTTGCATGATTTACACACATCAAAACAAAATAAAAATACTAAAAAAGCTTTAAATTGTGTTTGATAAAAGTCTACATTAATGTGAGCCATGTTTCACCCATACAATTATGGTGTGCAATTGTGGGGTTAAATCTGGGCTTAATTTTTGCCTGATTGCTGCACAATACAAATGCATTAAGGTGGCAACATTAGTACAAAATCATTCTAATTATAAAGTCCTGGCATGAATACAACATGGTGGTTCAATTTTGAGAATTTCAAAAGCATATGAATTTAGTACATTGAATTGAAACGAATATATTCCCATGCCTCACACAGGGGGGGGGGAGGGGGAGATGGTCACTGGGTGTTTATAATTTTCGAGGAGGATCATATGTACGTGAACGCACGCACATAAAGTTAAAAAGATTAATCATCATCATTTAGTAGGCCTACATTGACTTTCATATCTAAATAATAAAATTTATTAGTTATCCCTCTCATACCCATTTTCTTTGATAATTGTCAATATTAACAGATTGCAAGGGAGAACAAGTAAAGTTTATGATTAGCCATTTGCACCCATTATCTTTACTAAGAAGTGCATAAAATCATGCAGACGCCTATGTGTTGTGGGATATTTGCCAATTTATGGTGCCTAAGACTTACGGTAACGTCTAAACATATTCATTTTTATCGGGAACGCACGAAACGGATGCGATAGCTTTTTG